TATATATATATATATATATATATATATATATATATATATATATATATAATGCTGAGTTTACTCAGGTCCTGGACAATGTTCAGTACTCAAGTCCTGTGTACTGGTTGCTGAGTTATCCGTCCTGTGTACTGGTTGCTGAGTTATCCGTCCTGTGTACTGGTTGCTGAGTTATCCGTCCTGTGTACTGGTTGCTGAGTTATCCGTCCTGTGTACTGGTTGCTGAGTTATCCGTCCTGTGTACTGGTTGCTGAGTTATCCGTCCTGTGTACTGGTTGCTGAGTTATCCGTCCTGTGTACTGGTTGGTGAGTTATCCGTCCTGTGTACTGGTTGTTGAGTTATCCGTCCTGTGTACTGGTTGCTGAGTTATCCGTCCTGTGTACTGGTTGCTGAGTTATCCGTCCTGTGTACTGGTTGCTGAGTTATCCGTCCTGTGTACTGGTTGCTGAGTTATCCGTCCTGTGTACTGGTTGCTGAGTTATCCGTCCTGTGTACTGGTTGCTGAGTTATCCGTCCTGTGTACTGGTTGGTGAGTTATCCGTCCTGTGTACTGGTTGCTGAGTTATCCGTCCTGTGTACTGGTTGCTGAGTTATCCGTCCTGTGTACTGGTTGGTGAGTTATCCGTCCTGTGTACTGGTTGCTGAGTTATCCGTCCTGTGTACTGGTTGGTGAGTTATCCGTCCTGTGTACTGGTTGGTGAGTTATCCGTCCTGTGTACTGGTTGGTGAGTTATCCGTCCTGTGTACTGGTTGCTGAGTTATCCGTCCTGTGTACTGGTTGGTGAGTTATCCGTCCTGTGTACTGGTTGCTGAGTTATCCGTCCTGTGTACTGGTTGCTGAGTTATCCGTCCTGTGTACTGGTTGCTGAGTTATCCGTCCTGTGTACTGGTTGCTGAGTTATCCGTCCTGTGTACTGGTTGCTGAGTTATCCGTCCTGTGTACTGGTTGGTGAGTTATCCGTCCTGTGTACTGGTTGCTGAGTTATCCGTCCTGTGTACTGGTTGGTGAGTTATCCGTCCTGTGTACTGGTTGCTGAGTTATCCGTCCTGTGTACTGGTTGCTGAGTTATCCGTCCTGTGTACTGGTTGCTGAGTTATCCGTCCTGTGTACTGGTTGCTGAGTTATCCGTCCTGTGTACTGGTTGCTGAGTTATCCGTCCTGTGTACTGGTTGCTGAGTTATCCGTCCTGTGTACTGGTTGCTGAGTTATCCGTCCTGTGTACTGGTTGCTGAGTTATCCGTCCTGTGTACTGGTTGCTGAGTTATCCTGAGGTCTTCATAACTCTCACACGGTTAATAGTACTTAAACTGAAACAAATAATGTGTTTGCCTTGTATCGCGCGCTATGGATTATAATCCTGACCTCTAATCATCGGAGTTAACTAGTGTTATCTTGGTCTTGTAGTGCAAAATTGTGAATTGAACTCCTGCTGGATGTTTACTTATGCAGTTATAACTGACTCGGAGAACAGTGATGGAATACTGCAATGGTTATGGTTCCTGATAGTTCTGTTTCTGTGATATCAATTACCTACTGTTTATCTATCCTATTTTACCTCCTCTCACCCTGCCAATACCACCTCCCCTCCTCTTATTTCACCACACCCCCTTCCTACACCTTTTCCACCACCCCTCTCCATAACTCCTATTTCCCCCCCCCCCCCCCCCCCCCCGTTTCCCCTGTATGTCACCCAGCTGTAATGCCCTGTCCAGGGGGCCAGATTCACGAAGCAGTTACGCAAGCACTTACGAACCTGGGGCCAAATTTACGAAGCAGTTACGCAAGAACTTACGAACCTGGGGCCAGATTTACGAAGCAGTTACGCAAGCCCTACGAACCTGGAGCCAGATTTACGAAGCAGTTACGCAAGCACTTACGAACCTGGGGCTAGATGCACGAAGCAGTTACGCAAGAACTTACGAACCTGGAGCCAGATTTACGAAGCAGTTACGCAAGCACTTACGAACCTGGAGCCTGATTCACGAAGCAGTTGCGCAAGCACTTACGAACGTGTTCATCTTTCCTGAATCTTTGACGGCTTTGGTTACATTTATTAAACAGTTTACAAGCATGAAAACTTGCCAATCAACTGTTGTTATTGTTATAAACAGCCTCCTGGTGCTTCGGAGCTCATTAACTGTTTAATAATTGTAAACAAAGCCGCCAAAGATTGAGAAAAGATGGACAGGTTCGTAAGTGCTTGCGTAACTGCTTCGTGAATCTGGCCCTAGGTTCGGTAAGTGCTTGCGCAACTGCTTCGTGAATCTGGCCCCAGGTCCGTAAGTACTTGCGTTACTGCTTCGTGAATCTGGCCCCAGGCTCGTAAGTGTTTGCGTAACTGCTTGGTGAATCTGGCCCCAGGTTCGTAAGTGTTTGCGTAACTGCTTCGTGAATCTGGCCCTAGGTTCGTAAGTGCTTGCGTAACTGCTTCGTGAATCTGACCCCAGATTCGTAAGTGCTTGCGTAACTGCTTGGTGAATCTGGCCCCCAGGCTCGTAAGTGCTTCCGTAACTGCTTCGTGAATCTGACCCTGGTTCGTAAGTGCTTGCGTAACTGCTTCGTGAATCTGGCCCCTGGTTCGTAAGTGCTTGCGTAACTGCTTGGTGAATCTGGCCCCAGGTTCGTAAGTGCTTACGTAACTGCTTCGTGGATCTGGCCCCAGGTTCGTAAGTGCTTGCGTAACTGCTTCGTGAATCTGGCCCCAGGTTCGTAAGTGCTTGCGTAACTGCTTCGTGAATCTGACCCTGGTTCGTAAGTGCTTGCGTAACTGCTTGGTGAATCTGGCCCCAGGTTCGTAAGTGCTTCCGTAACTGCTTGATGAATCTGGCCCCAGGTTCGTAAGTGCTTACGTAACTGCTTGGTGAATCTGGCCCCAGGTTCGTAAGTGCTTGCGTAACTGCTTGGTGAATCTGGCCCCAGGTTCGTAAGTGCTTGCGTAACTGCTTGATGAATCTGGCCCCAGGTTCGTAAGTGCTTGCGTAACTGCTTCGTGGATCTGGCCCCAGGTTCGTAAGTGCTTACGTAACAGCTTCGTGGATCTGGCCCCAGGTTCGTAAGTGCTTACGTAACAGCTTCGTGGATCTGGCCCCAGGTTCGTAAGTGCTTACGTAACAGCTTCGTGGATCTGGCCCCAGGTTCGTAAGTGCTTGCGTAACTGCTTCGTGAATCTGGCCCCACATTCCCTGGCATCCAGCACATGGAAGTCAAAATGTAAACCTCCTCCTGACGTGTTCAAGAGCTGCCTCAGCGACAACTCCCTGTGTACCTTTCATTAAAATCTTCCAAGTCAGAGAAAAATTCATATTTAATGAGCTGTTTTAGCGTCAAAAATAATGCAGAAGAGTCTCGGGGCGCTGGAAGAAAGAGTCTAAACAGCTGGAGGTACACGGGAAGCTCAGTTGACTCCGCAGTTGGGACCCAAATGAGTGACTGAGTTACAAAACAGCGAGACATAAATGAGTGACTGAGTTACAAAACAGCGAGACATAAATGAGTGACTGAGTTACAAAACAGCGAGACATAAATGAGTGACTGAGTTACAAACAGCGAGACATAAATGAGTGACTGAGTTACAAAAAAGCGAGACATAAATGAGTGACTGAGTTACAAAACAGCGAGACATAAATGAGTGACTGAGTTACAGAACAGCGAGACATAAATGAGTGACTGAGTTACAAAACAGCGAGACATAAATGAGTGACTCAGTTACAAAACAGCGAGACATAAATGAGTGACTGAGTTAGAAAACAGCGAGACATAAATGAGTGACTGAGTTACAAAACAGCGAGACATAAATGAGTGACTGAGTTAGAAAACAGCGAGACATAAATGAGTGACTGAGTTACAAAACAGCGAGACATAAATGAGTGACTGAGTTACAAAACAGCGAGACATAAATGAGTGACTGAGTTACAAAACAGCGAGACATAAATGAGTGACTGAGTTACAAAACAGCAAGACATAAATGAGTGACTGAGTTACAAAACAGCGAGACATAAATGAGTGACTGAGTTACAAAACAGCGAGACATAAATGAGTGACTGAGTTACAAAACAGCGAGACATAAATGAGTGACTGAGTTACAAAACAGCGAGACATAAATGAGTGACTGAGTTACAAAACAGCGAGACATAAATGAGTGACTGAGTTAGAAAACAGCGAGACATAAATGAGTGACTGAGTTACAAAACAGCGAGACATAAATGAGTGACTGAGTTACAAAACAGCGAGACATAAATGAGTGACTGAGTTACAAAACATCGAGACATAAATGAGTGACTGAGTTACAAAACAGCGAGACATAAATGAGTGACTGAGTTAGAAAACAGCGAGACATAAATGAGTGACTGAGTTACAAAACAGCGAGACATAAATGAGTGACTCAGTTACAAAACATCGAGACATAAATGAGTGACTGAGTTACAAAACAGCGAGACATAAATGAGTGACTCAGTTAGAAAACAGCGAGACGTAATACTTTTGTCGACGGTTCGCAGTTTTTATCTCTTCTAACTTTTTTATTTATGCGGCTTTAGCTCTTGGAACCCGTCATGGGTACTCCTGACTTGCTCTCTATAAGAGTACAGTTACTCACCGGCATGTATGCACTCTCTCTCTCTGCACTCATTCACCCACTAACCTAACCTAACCTAACCTAACCTAACCTAACCTAACCATCTCTCCTACACACAGACAAAGGCTTAAGTCTGACCCTTGAGTGGACACTCGAGAGATAGACTGGAGTCACAAGTGGTGAAAAGGCAGCCTGGAAATGGCAGCATAAGAATGTAATATCGGATCCTAAATGCTTGCGTAACTGCTTCGTGAATCTAGCCCCTAGTCGATTAGTTTGGGGTCCACCTCGCCCTCTAACAATGATATTAACACCCATTACTGCAGTAACAGTAATAGCAGCGCTTATCATTAAAAATTATCTCTGTTTATTCCTCCTAAGCTGAACATTTTTGGGTAACCGTGTATCTCTTTCTGCTGGACAGCGTGCTGGGGGACGCAGACGTGGAACCAGGAGCCAGCGAGGACGGAGGTCAACCCCGGCGGGAACGTGGTGCTGGCCTGCAAGGTTTATAACAAGCAGGGAACGTGTTCCTGGCAGAAGGATGGCAAGGTAACGTAGCTCCTTGCTGTCTCTCACAGTGAGGTAACGTAGCTCCTTGCTGTCTCTCACAGTGAGGTAACGTAGCTATTTGCTGTCTCTCACAGTGAGGTAACGTAGCTCCTGTCTCTCACAGTGAGGTAACGTAGCTCCTTGCTGTCTCTCACAGTGAGGTAACGTCTCAGTAGCTCCTTGCTGTCTCTCACAGTGAGGTAACGTAGCTCCTTGCTGTCTCTCACAGTGAGGTAACGTAGCTCCTTGCTGTCTCTCAGTGAGGTAACGTAGCTCCTTGCTGTCTCTCACAGTGAGGTAACGTAGCTCCTTGCTGTCTCTCACAGTGAGGTAACGTAGCTCCTTGCTGTCTCTCACAGTGAGGTAACGTAGCTCCTGTCTCTCACAGTGAGGTAACGTAGCTCCTTGCTGTCTCTCACAGTGAGGTAACGTAGCTCCTTGCTGTCTCTCACAGTGAGGTAACGTAGCTCCTTGCTGTCTGAGGTAACGTAGCTCCTTCTCTGTGAGGTAACGTAGCTCCTTGCTGTCTCTCACAGTGAGGTAACGTAGCTATTTGCTGTCTCTCACAGTGAGGTAACGTAGCTCCTTCTCTGTCTCTCCTGTCTCTCACAGTGAGGTAACGTAGCTCCTTCCTGTCTCTCACAGTGAGGTAACGTAGCTCCTTCCTGTCTCTCACAGTGAGGTAACGTAGCTCCTTCCTGTCTCTCACAGTGAGGTAACGTAGCTCCTGTCTCTCACAGTGAGGTAACGTAGCTCCTGTCTCCCACAGTGAGGTAACGTAGCTCCTGTCTCTCACAGTGAGGTAACGTAGCTCCTGTCTCTCACAGTGAGGTAACGTAGCTCCTTGCTGTCTCTCACAGTGAGGTAACGTAGCTCCTTGCTGTCTCTCACAGTGAGGTAACGTACCTCCTGTCTCTCACAGTGAGGTAACGTACCTCCTGTCTCTCACAGTGAGGTAACGTCTCAGTAGCTCCTTCCTGTCTCTCACAGTGAGGTAACGTCTCAGTAGCTCCTTCCTGTCTCTCACAGTGAGGTAACGTCTCAGTAGCTCCTTCCTGTCTCTCACAGTGAGGTAACGTAGCTCCTTCCTTTCTCTCACAGCAGTGAGGTAACGTCTCAGTAGCTCCTTCCTGCCTCTCACAGCAGTGAGGTAACGTCTCAGTAGCTCCTTCCTTTCTCTCACAACAGTGAGGAAACGTCTCAGTTCCTCTCTCAACACTCAATATTCTCTATCAAACATCATCAGCCACTTGGGCAGGACGGTAGAGCGACGGGCTCGCTTCCTGCAGGTCGGTGTTCAAGCCCCGACTGTCCACAAGTGGTTGGGCATCATTCCTCCTGGTGCTTCGGAGCTCATTAACTGTTTAATAATTGTAACCAAAGCCGTCAAAGATTGAGAAAAGATGTACAGGTTCGTAAGTGCTTGCGTAACTGCTTCCTGAATCTGGCCCCAGGTTCGTAAGTGCTTGCATAACTGCTTCCTGAATCTGGCCCCAGGCTCGTAAGTGCTTGCATAACTACATCCTGAATCTGGCCCCAGGTTCGTAAGTGCTTGCGTAACTGCTTCCTGAATCTGGCCCCAGGTTCGTAAGTGCTTGCGTAACTGCTTCCTGAATCTGGCTTCCTGAACTACTGGCTGGCCCCAGGTTCGTAAGTGCTTGCGTAACTGCTTCCTGAATCTGGCCCCAGGTTCGTAAGTGCTTGCGTAACTGCTTCCTGAATCTGGCCCCAGGTTCGTAAGTGCTTGCGTAACTGCTTCCTGAATCTGGCCCCAGGTTCGTAAGTGCTTGCGTAACTGCGTGAATCTGCTTCGTAAGTACTGCGTAACTATTTAGTGAATCTGGCCCCAGGTTCGTAAGTGCTTGCGTAACTGCTTCCTGAATCTGGCCCCCAGGTTCGTAAGTGCTTGCGTAACTGCTTCCTGAACTGCTTCCTGGCCCCAGGTTCGTAGGTTCGTAAGTGCTTCCTGAATCTGGCCCCAGGTTCGTAGGTGCTTGCGTAACTGCTTCCTGAATCTGGCCCCAGGTTCGAAAGTGCTTGCGTAACTGCTTCCTGAATCTGGCCCCCAGGTTCGAAAGTGCTTGCGTAACTGCTTCCTGAATCTGGCCCCGGGTTCGTAAGTGATTGCGTAACTGCTTCCTGAATCTGGCCCCAGGTTCGTAAGTGCTTGCGTAACTGCTTCCTGAATCTGGCCCCAGGTTCGTAGGTGCTTGCGTAACTGCTTCCTGAATCTGGCCCCAGGTTCGTAAGTGATTGCGTAACTGCTTTCTGAATCTGGCCCCAGGTTCGTAAGTGCTTGCGTAACTGCTTCGTGAATCTGACCTCAGGAAGATGGCCTTCTACATTATTTATATATAGTGAACACTTACTATAAAATTATTATAGATAGAATGTACCTAAATGTATATATGTTTAAGTTAATATTTTATTTAAACTTTTAGTATATTTAGGTCCTCATTTTTTTTAAATTTAATGGAATTTTAAATTTTAATTAAATTTTTTAATAAATTTAATTTTAAATTTTAATGAATTTTTTTAATAAATTTAATTTTAAATTTTAATGAATTTTTTTAATAAATTTCATTTTAAATTAATATTTTTGTTTAAGTTAATAATTTTATTTGAATTTTTAAATTTATTTGTATTATTGATAATATTTAGCGACAGTTAACTAGTTGCAATATAAGGGAAATTATTGATCAATTGATCTTGAGTAATAGGGTGTAACTCCAAGAATAGGCCTATTGGTGTCCCAACCCAACAATAGGTCTATTGGTGTCCCAACCCAAGAATAGGTCTATTGGTGTCCCAACCCAAGAATAGGTCTATTGGTGTCCCAACCCAAGAATAGGCCTATTGGTGTCCCAACCCAAGAATAGGTCTATTGGTGTCCCAACCCAAGAATAGGTCTATTGGTGTCCCAACCCAAGAATAGGTCTATTGGTGTCCCAACCCAAGAATAGGCCCAAGAATAGGCCTATTGGTGTCCCAACCCAAGAATAGGCCTATTGGTGTCCCAACCCAAGAATAGGTCTATTGGTGTCCCAACCCAAGAATAGGTCTATTGGTGTCCCAACCCAAGAATAGGTCTATTGGTGTCCCAACCCAAGAATAGGCCTATTGGTGTCCCAACCCAAGAATAGGTCTATTGGTGTCCCAACCCAAGAATAGGCCTATTGGTGTCCCAACCCAAGAATAGGTCTATTGGTGTCCCAACCCAAGAATAGGCCTATTGGTGTCCCAACCCAAGAATAGGCCTATTGGTGTCCCAACCCAAGAATAGGCCTATTGGTGTCCCAACCCAAGAATAGGTCTATTGGTGTCCCAACCCAAGAATAGGCCTATTGGTGTCCCAACCCAAGAATAGGTCTATTGGTGTCCCAACCCAAGAATAGGCCTATTGGTGTCCCAACCCAAGAATAGGTCTATTGGTGTCCCAACCCAAGAATAGGCCTATTGGTGTCCCAACCCAAGAATAGGTCTATTGGTGTCCCAACCCAAGAATAGGCCTATTGGTGTCCCAACCCAAGAATAGGTCTATTGGTGTCCCAACCCAAGAATAGGCCTATTGGTGTCCCAAACCAAGAATAGGTCTATTGGTGTCCCAAACGAAGAATAGGTCTATTGGTGTCCCAAACCAAGAATAGGTCTATTGGTGTCCCAACTCAAGAATAGGCCTATTGGTGTCCCAACCCAAGACTAGGCCTATTGGTGTCCCAACCCAAGAATAGGTCTATTGGTGTCCCAATCCAAGAATAGGTCTATTGGTGTCCCAACCCAAGAATAGGTCTATGGGTGTCCCAAACTAAGAATAGGCCTATTGGTGTCCCAACCCAAGAATAGGTTTATGGGTGTCCCAAATCAAGAATAGGTCTATTGGTGTCCCAACCATAGAATAGGTCTATGTGTGTCCCAACCCAAGAATAGGTTTATGGGTGTCCCAAACCAAGAATAGGTCAATTGGTGTCCCAACTCAAGAATAGGCCAATCGGTGTCCCAACTCAAGAATAGGCCTATTGGTGTCCCAACCCAAGAATAGGTCTATATGTGTCCCAACTCAAGAATAGGCTTATGTGTGTCCCAACCCAAGAATAGGTCTATTGGTGTCCCAACTCAAGAATACGCCAATTGGTGTCCCAACTCAAGAATAGGCCAATTGGTGTCCCAACTCAAGAATAGGCCTATTGGTGTCCCAACCCAAGAATAGGCCTATTGGTGTCCCAACCCAAGAATAGGCCTATTGGTGTCCCAACCCAAGAATAGGTTTATTGGTGTCCTAACCCAAGAATAGGCCTATGGGTGTCCCAAACTAAGAACATGGCCGTACGAACCCCTGAATAATAACATGTACTCACCAAGTTGTGCTTACGGGGGTTGAGCTGTGGCTCCTTGGTCCCGCCTCTCACCTGTGTGTGTGTGTCCACAGCCCCAGGGAATGTTCGTGGGGAAGTACGAGTGGTCCGGGGACAGGGAAGCCGGCGACTGCTCCCTCAGGATCCTGGACGCCAGCGAAGTGGACGACGGAGAGTGGGAGTGTCAAGTGACGGCGTCCGCCTTCACCGCCCACGACGCCCTCACATCCAGGATAGCTGAGATGGTGGTCAGAGGTTAGTGTGGGGGGGCTTGAGGCGCGCCATGTTTGCTGTGTCTCGAGCACTGTAGCTGCTCCTTGATCTTACAGCTGGCCCCTGCTGCTGCTGTTTGATCTAACAGCTGGCCCCTGCTGCTGCTTGACCTGGCAGCTGGCCCCTGCAGCTGCTGCTTGATCTAACAGCTGGCCCCTGCTGCTGCTGCTTGATCTAACAGCTGGCCCCTGCTGCTGCTGCTTGATCTAACAGCTGGCCCCTGCTGCTGCTGCTTGATCTAACAGCTGGCCCCTGCTGCTGCTGCTTGATCTAACAGCTGACCCCTGCTGCTGCTGTTTGATCTAACAGCTGGCCCCTGCTGCTGCTGCTTGACCTGGCAGCTGGCCCCTGCTGCTGCTGCTTGGTCTGCTGGTCCCTGCTGCTGCTGCTTGGTCTGCTGGTCCCTGCTGCTGCTTGGTCTGCTGGTCCCTGCTGCTGCTGCTTGGTCTGCTGGTCCCTGCTGCTGCTGCTTGGTCTGCTGGCCCCTGCTGCTGCTGTTTGATCTAACAGCTGGCCCCTGCTGCTGCTCCTTGATCTTACAGCTGGCCCCTGCTGCTGCTCCTTGATCTAACAGCTGGCCCCTGCTGCTGCTGCTTGATCTAACAGCTGGCCCCTGCTGCTGCTGCTTGATCTAACAGCTGGCCCCTGCTGCTGCTCCTTGATCTTACAGCTGGCCCCTGCTGCTGCTCCTTGATCTTACAGCTGGCCCCTGCTGCTGCTCCTTGATCTTACAGCTGGCCCCTGCTGCTGCTGCTTGATCTAACAGCTGGCCCCTGCTGCTGCTGCTTGATCTAACAGCTGGCCCCTGCTGCTGCTCCTTGATCTTACAGCTGGCCCCTGCTGCTGCTCCTTGACCTCATAGCTGGCCTCCTCACCATCCTGCCTCCTCACCATCCTTCCTCCTCACCATCCTGCCTCCTCACCATCCTTCCTCCTCACCATCCTTCCTCCTCACTATCCTGCCTCCTCACCATCCTGCCTCCTCACTATCCTGCCTCCTCACCATCCTGCCTCCTCACCATCCTGCCTCCTCACCATCCTTCCTCCTCACCATCCTTCCTCCTCACCATCCTGCCTCCTCACCATCCTCCTCCTCACCATCCTGCCTCCTCACCATCCTGCCTCCTCACCATCCTGCCTCCTCACCATCCTGCCTCCTCACCATTCTGCCCCCTCACCATCCAGCCTCCTCACCATCCTGCCTCCTCACCATCCTGCCTCCTCACCATCCTGCCTCCTCACCATCCTGCCTCCTCACCATCCTGCCTCCTCACCATTCTGCCCCCTCACCATCCAGCCTCCTCACCATCCTGCCTCCTCACCATCCAGCCTCCTCACCATCCTGCCTCCTCACCATCCTGCCTCCTCACCATCCTGCCTCCTCACCATCCTGCCCCCTCACCATCCTGCCTCCTCACCATCCTGCCTCCTCACCATCCTGCCTCCTCACTATCCTTCCTCCTCACCATCCTGCCTCCTCACCATCCTGCCTCCTCACCATCCTGCCCCCTCACCATCCTGCCTCCTCACCATCCTACCTCCTCACCATCCTCCTCCTCACTATCCTGCCTCCTCACCATCCTTCCTCCTCACCATCCTGCCTCCTCACCATCCTGCCTCCTCACTATCCTGCCTCCTCACCATCCTCCTCCTCACTATCCTGCCTCCTCACCATCCTGCCTCCTCACTATCCTTCCTCCTCACCATCCTGCCTCCTCACCATCCTCCTCCTCACCATCCTGCCTCCTCACCATCCTGCCTCCTCACCATCCTGCCTCCTCACCATCCTGCCTCCTCACCATCCTGCCTCCTCACCATCCTCCTCCTCACCATCCTGCCTCCTCACCATCCTGCCTCCTCACCATCCTGCCTCCTCACCATCCTGCCTCCTCACCATTCTGCCTCCTCACCATCCTGCCTCCTCACCATCCTGCCTCCTCACCATCCTGCCTCCTCACCATCCTTCCTCCTCACCATCCTACCTCCTCACCATCCTGCCTCCTCACCATCCTTCCTCCTCACCATCCTGCCTCCTCACCATCCGTCCTCCTCACCATCCTGCCTCCTCACCATCCTACCTGCTCACCATCCTACCTCCTCACCATCCTTCCTCCTCACTATCCTGCCTCCTCACCATCCTGCCTCCTCACCATCCTTCCTCCTCACCATCCTACCTCCTCACCATCCTGCCTCCTCACCATCCTTCCTCCTCACCATCCTGCCTCCTCACCATCCTACCTCCTCACCATCCTACCTCCTCACCATCCTTCCTCCTCACCATCCTGCCTCCTCACTATCCTTCCTCCTCACCATCCTGCCTCCTCACCATCCTCCTCCTCACCATCCTGCCTCCTCACCATCCTTCCTCCTCACCATCCTACCTCCTCACCATCCTGCCTCCTCACCATCCTGCCTCCTCACCATCCTGCCTCCTCACCATCCTGCCTCCTCACCATCCTACCTCCTCACCATCCTGCATCCTCACCATCCTGCCTCCTCACCATCCTGCCTCCTCACCATCCTACCTCCTCACCATCCTGCATCCTCACCATCCTGCCTCCTCACCATCCTGCCTCCTCACCATCCTACCTCCTCACCATCCTGCATCCTCACCATCCTGCCTCCTCACCATCCTTCCTCCTCACCATCCTTCCTCCTCACCATCCTGCCTCCTCACCATCCTACCTCCTCACCATCCTGCATCCTCACCATCCTGCCTCCTCACCATCCTTCCTCCTCACCATCCTTCCTCCTCACCATCCTGCCTCCTCACCATCCTGCCTCCTCACCATCCTACCTCCTCACCATCCTGCATCCTCACCATCCTGCCTCCTCACCATCCTGCCTCCTCACCATCCTACCTCCTCACCATCCTGCATCCTCACCATCCTGCCTCCTCACCATCCTTCCTCCTCACCATCCTTCCTCCTCACCATCCTGCCTCCTCACCATCCTGCCTCCTCACCATCCTGCCTCCTCACCATCCTACCTCCTCACCATCCTGCATCCTCACCATCCTGCCTCCTCACCATCCTGCCTCCTCACCATCCTACCTCCTCACCATCCTGCATCCTCACCATCCTGCCTCCTCACCATCCTTCCTCCTCACCATCCTGCCTCCTCACCATCCTGCCTCCTCACCATCCTGCCTCCTCACCATCCTGCATCCTCACCATCCTGCCTCCTCACCATCCTGCCTCCTCACCATCCTGCCTCCTCACCATCCTGCCTCCTCACTATCCTGCCTCCTCACTATCCTGCCTCCTCACCATCCTCCTCCTCACTATCCTGCCTCCTCACCATTCTGCCTCCTCACCATCCTGCCTCCTCACCATCCTTCCTCCTCACCATCCTGCATCCTCACCATCCTGCCTCCTCACCATCCTGCCTCCTCACCATCCTGCCTCCTCACCATCCTGCCTCCTCACTATCCTGCCTCCTCACTATCCTGCCTCCTCACCATCCTCCTCCTCACTATCCTGCCTCCTCACCATCCTGCCTCCTCACCATCCTTCCTCCTCACCATCCTACCTCCTCACTATCCTGCATCCTCACCATCCTGCCTCCTCACCATCCTGCCTCCTCACCATCCTACCACCAGACAGCCTTTAACCTCACCATTGTAACAGAATATATATATATATATATATATATATATATATATATATATATATATATATATATATATATATATATATATATATATAAATAACTAAATTTAAATAAAATAAAGCTGGAAATAACTAAATGTATTCTGGTTTTCTCTCCAAAAATTATGTATATTTTGTGTGTTTTGAATTCAAATTTCATCTAAATGTCAAATATTATTTTGTTGATCATTTAAATTTAAAGTTTCTACAGCTTTAGTGTTTTTAACACGAACAAATTATTTCCCACAAATTATTAATTGTTAAAAATAAAATTTCAATTGTGATTTTTTTGGGGGGGTTAATATGTGTTAAATGTTGGAGTTAATGGTAACTTTAACCTCATTTGTATTAGGCGCAGCACAGTTTTTTTAACTTTAATTTTTTGGTTAATATATGTTAAATGTTGGAGTTAATTTTAACATTATTCCTCACCACAGATTTTTAACTTTATTTTTTGGTTAATATATGTTAAATGTTGGAGTTAATGTTAACATTATTCCTCACTACAGATTTTTAACTTTATTTTTTGGTTAATATATGTTAAATGTTGGATGTTAACGTTGTTCCTCGCCACAGTTTTTTTATCTTTAATTTTTTTGATGTTAATATTTGTTAATTGTTGAAGTTCATGTTAAAAATTTTCCTCACCACAATGTTTTTAACTTTAATTTTTTTGGTTAATATATGTTAAAAATTGGAGTTAATATTAACATTCTACCGCACCACAGATTTTTAACTTTAATTTTTTGGTTAATATGTGTTAAAAATTGGAGTTAATATTAACATTGTACCGCACCACAGTTTTTTAACTTTATTTTTTGGGGGGTTAATACTTGTTAAATGTATTAGTTAATATTTGAACTTACGGCCCTCTCGGGACGCAACGGGGTTCTTACTCTGATGTAGTTAGAGGAAGATATATATCCGGCCCCAAGCCAGTAGAGGCTATCAAGGGATGCGATCCGTGACGCAAGTAACTTAAAGGGAGTAGGGAAAGAAAGGTAAGAACGTAATATAATATAATATAACCATCACCATTTAAATATATAAAATAAAAGAGTACACAAGGGGGAGGGGTATTAACACTTTACAAGGGGATCAACTCTGTAGTCTTCTGCTGGAGACTATGGATCCTCGAAGCTAGGTGCTGAGTCCGCGGTGCTTTCTTCGTGGCCTCAAGACGTGTCCTCTGAGAACGCCGAGCCTACCCTGGCCACAGGTCAGCCACAACACAGGTCCACTGGGGGCACCGTCGTGGAGGCCGTCAACCACACGTCCAGCAGGTCTGCTGGCAGGTACTGAGCCACCAAGGCTGGTACGGCCACTCCACGA